ATGCAAGACAGTACTTTTAGCCCTTGAGAGCAGTGCTGGCAATAACTGTATGACTTCCCTTTCTGCATATTTCCTCTCCATCAGTGAAAAGCTATTTTGCAGCCAGTAGAGGCTGACCTATCCCATCACGTGGTTAACTTCCAGACCTTAGAGAAGCCAATGCTGCCTTCATATTTTGTTCTTAGAACAGCGAAGACACAGCTTCCTAAAATTTTATTTCCCTCTCCTTTTTCCTTTCTGACTAAGATTTCTACATGTACTTTTACAGCAGCTCTTTCTCACAGGAAGTCAGATCTATCAAGCAGGGAAGGAGAAGGTAGATTGAATTCTCTACATCACATTCAACCAGAAGGTGGCAAGGTAGTCACTGCTAAGTTCTTTCAGAAAATTAAATTAACAAGCCAATGAGTTTCCCATTGTAGGTTTAGGCCCACAAATTAAATAGGAATAATGGATATTTTAAATCACGTCCCAAGCAAATGGGTCTTCAGAGTCAGAGCCGTTGCCACTCTTCTGAAGAGAAAAATATTTCTGAGGTGGCAGGAACAATCTAGCCAGCCTGCAAGCAATACAGAGCTGAAGATCATCCAAAACCACCATCCCTTTATTCTTGCATACTTCCATTCTCTAGTGAGCAGCATGATGAAAATTTACACAGCATAAGTTTACTGAAGAGCCAGAGTTTTACCTGACTACTTCAAGGACCTCTCCAAAGTTATCCCTATTATTGTCTCCATTCATTAAAAGGATAAGGTAATGCTTAAGTACCAATCAGTAGAACTCATGGGCACTCTGTTCTCCAACTGCCATAAAGGCTAAAGGCTACACACAAGTGAAATTTTATGTCATTTACTTCTTTTTTACTTCCACAGGGTACTCTATTGAAGATGCTGAGCGGCCAGTTCATTTTAGAAGATAAAATACAGATGAGTGACTTTGCCTTCATCAAACAGTAAGACTTCACATATATAAAGAGGTGTAGGAAAAAGAAACTGGATGGCTAAAGGCAAAGAAAAGGACTTACTTCTGAAGTACTAATTAAGCTCTTTGCAGCTGACACAGGCCAACCTGTTACTTTTCAGCTGTCCAAAATTCTGGATGCTAAAAGTTTGTATGACTTTAAAGGACGGTTACATTCTGAGAACAGAAAATAACACACACATAAACACAGCCACCAAGGGCTACTAAATACCTCTACTAAACACTTGCTGTTTTATAAATTCATTGAGCCAGAAGCCAGTATTAGCTAAAAGGCTACATCAGAAAACTAACAGGCATGTCTTGGCCTTGTTCTTATACCCTGTTGTTTTTATTTGCTGCAGGTTCCAATTGAAGATACTGAATCAAGTGGATCTTTGGTTTAATCCAAAATAACCCCCATGCAACTGAAATCAACCTCCCTTATTCAATGATAAATTCTTATTGACTTGATGAGTTTACTTATAATAAAAAAGGCTACAGATCTAGTTATTATAACAAGAGTAAATGGCCTCAGACCTTCTGTCAGTTAAATGAGACACAGTTGGATTTTGGATTTGGTTTGGGGGTAAGCTGGAACATGCAGCTCCTCTGCATAATAATTCTAGATCTTTCATTTTCTTAAATACCAAAGTAAACCCCACATTTTTTCCCTTTTTTGTAGAGCACTAACCAGCATTCCTGGAGTTATTGCACATCAGAGACAATCCAAACACACAAACAAGGCTATTATATCTCTATACGTGTTCTTTTCATGCCAATTCAACAGAAATTCCGCAAATTAACAAGCCCTGTTTACTCTGAGAGGTTTATTCCATCTTCTTTCTAAAACAATTGACTCAACATGTTTCTTCTGAAACAAAAAATAGCAACTGAATATAACAAAAGCCAACTGCCAAATCCAATGCTTTTATAATTATATCAATAGAGGGGTTGAACAATGCATTTATAATTATTACAATACTGACCACTATTTTCTAATGGGACACAGATTGAACAGACTTTGTAGCAACACCAACTGTATTTTCAACCACCTTCTCTGTTTACTTTGAATTTTGATGATGCCAAAAAACTAAGCTGTAACAGCAGCCATCAAAATAACATCAATAGTAAAAAGAAAAGCCTAACAAGAAGCATGATGCTGCTTTTATATCAGTGGCCAGAAGTAATTTCTGAAGCTAGTGGAAAGTGGTGCCATTTGACTCAGATCAATGAATTAACACCAGTTTCTACAAGCAGAAGGGCTGACTCCTCATGCTGCTCTTCTCACCTTAACCATGTCTTATCTTCTTTGCTCCAAAAATCAAATTTCCTCTCACATCTCTTATCAGTATTTGTCACCCTTTACCCAGCCTGAGCAAACATTTGCTCACCTTATACCACCACTAATATTTTCTTCCCTTTGTTACACCTCCCAAGTCACTAATAGACAACAAAGTTGGTTCACTTACCATTTTAAGGATTTTCTATATGCACGGTCTTAGGGGGATATTTCAGATCTGTTTAATTTTACATCTATTCTTTAATTCGATTCAGCATTTCAGTTATTCTTGTGCAGAATTGGATAATTTGAAATGAATTATTGCGAAATATTCATCTTTGCAAAATGGAAGTGATCCGATTTGGTTACAAGATGAAACTATATCACAAAAGCAACACTTCCAGTGAGCCCACTTACCTATACAGAGTTCACTTCCACCACAACATCAAGTGGGCATCATGTGTGAATGTAAGTTCATTTAGCTCTGTACCCTGTCTCTGCTGACGGTTAACAACAGATATCTGTGTAAGACCTTGGGAAGCACGAATTTGTATTTCCTCTACTCTCCCAGTCTCCAGCAGTTGGGATTCTTTGGCTTTCTGGGCCACAGATGGCATCCTGAGATTGTTTCTGGAACATGTAATGGCCAGTCTTCGCGAACGAAGAACTCATTTACTTCTGCCCAGAAGTCCTGTCCTGGGCAGAGTTTTATTGAAAATTGTATGCTATCTCAAAAAGCATTACATGCCAAACTAGTATCTTAAATATTTCACAGTTCTAATTACTTTAAAAATTCAAGCCCTGGCTCCTTAGCTTATACAGTCATTGATCAAATCAGAGCAGTTTTGCCTTTTCACAACGGGACATGAAATCCAGCTCTTTGCTTACTCCAGCTCCTACACACTGTCCAATCACAGCTCTTTCTCTATGCTGTAGGTGGATATTACATAGTCCTGTAAGTGCAACCCTCAGCCCTTGTCCTACTATTATCCTTTGTTGAACTAAAATAAATTTTTTCAAGTGAGCTCTGCTTACTAAGTCAGCCATTTGCTCACTATGATTACCTCAGGTCTCATTTTGATTCACTACCCTGCCTGTCTTCAAACTTGAAAATTATACCAGATTTATTACCAGACTAATGGCAAAGATGCCCCATATCACTGCACCTGGAACAAACCTTCCAGAACATCATTAGAAATATCTTGCCAGGAGAGGATTTCTTGCAGATGACTTTTGATTCACATGAATCTGCTGATTCTTGATTATGCTTAACCAAATATTTCACTATCAAATAGCTACAAACCCACACAGCGACAGAACACAAATCTCCCAACCACAGCCAGTATCCTGTTCTCTGAATCATGCAGCTCTCTCATATCACAGTAAGTTCATTCATACTCCTGCTCACTCAGATCACAAACTGGGCTGATTAACTCACAAAGAAACACTAAATAAGAAGTAAAATCCCTGTTCTGAATCCAGGGCCCTTTTGCTCCAATCAAACAAATTACTGTGTTGAGGAAGAAAAGTCAGGAGACTGAAAATAACTCCTCCAAGTCTCTCCTTAAGGCAGCATTTGGCTTCCAAATGCTGTTGTGCATCATCTTAATAAAGCACTTGGGAAATAAATCAAAGGCTATTAAAACACTTGTGACATCACACTTGCTTCTTTGAGTAACACCCACATCTTGAATTTACAGTGCATGTATGCTGAGTAGCTGGTGGACTGTAAAGAAAAAAAAAAAAGTGTATTGGCTTCTTCCTTCTTTGGCTCCTTTACCGGAGATAAAGTCTGCGGGGATTGTAATGAGCTTTTCTTACAAAAGAGTTAGCATTGTGAAAACTGTTAACATACAGAGAGAGATTACAAAGAATAAGACCATTTACCTTTGAAAAGGGAACACTTAGAAGGAAAATTTACTGAGGTCTTTGAGTTTCTTTCTTACTACCTTCGTCGTGACTAGCCTCTAAATTTTACACTGCCTCATAACAAGAGAGCACATCGTCACTCGAGTATTGGCAGGGAAGTGAAGAGAAATTATATTTCCACAATGCCTGTAGTCAGTGCACACTGCTCACAGGCAGAGGAGGTCAGAGCCTCGCAAGCCACAGATGCGCTTACTAGAAAGGGCCAACAGTCTATAATTGATATAACTTACATTTTTAACTAGATATTAATGTTAATATGGCAAGTCATCAAAACTCACATTTCGGGGCATAAACTGATTTCTGTAGCAGAGCAAGAAATACAAATTATCCCAAAGGTAGTAAGTTTATTGAGAGTTTAACACTGATAATAGCTGTCATTTAGCTGGAGGCAGGCTAGGGGAAAAAAAAAAGCAGATCACCTCTTGAAAATTCTAGCAAGGAAAGCTCATTTTAAGGAAGAACTGTGGAAAAACTTCACGTTCTTACCTACTCCACAGTATGATGTTGCTTTCACTTAAGCTGTGCTACCACAGAGTGACAAGAAAAAAAGGCTCTAGTTCTGCCTCTCTCACCTCCCATAAAACATAAGAGGAGCTGAGAAGTTACAAACACAATTAGGGAAAAAAGATTGTCTCATATATTCATAAAGAAACAACTATTACAAATGAGTGCATTAAAATTTCATGTTGTTGCTACCTCTAATGCTTCTCCTATCTAGTAGCTCGTACCAGCAATGGCACACAGTCCATGGTCATATCCTCTGTGCTGATTTTCCTTCCTTGGACAGAGAACTGACTTTTTAAAAGGAATGGGTTTGATTCTCATTTCTTACCCTTTTGCAAGGATTAGCTTCTGTTCATGCAAAATCCAAACTAATGACGTCATACATTGACCCAAAGATGACAATCCATACAAGAGTTTCTCAAGGTTCTCAAGGTATTGGAAGAGAATACAGCAGAAGTTTGGCTTGCTAAAGCATATCTGTCAGGCTTCAGCTATGGATGGACACTGTAGGCTTATGCAGCTGTGTTTCTGCTCTCACTCTTCCAGGACTGGATTTTGTTACCCAGATTCATCCAAACCTTTCAGCTCATTTACTGCAGATAGGCAGGTAACATAACCCCCTTACTCATCCCTGCAGTGGTGAAGAAGGTGGCCTAAAGCTGTAGGTAGGAAGGCTAGGACTCACAGCTGTCTTTCTCATGCCACAGCTCTATACAGAAGATCTGTTGCCTCCTACAAGAAAGGACAGAAATAAAGGAGACCAAACTCGTGTGTGTTTCAGCCTCCTAGATTGATCCTTTGGAGCAGAGACAGCTTGAGACAATGTAAACACACACAAACTATCAATAAGAAAACAGTGACTTGTTGGTAAAGCACAACAAGAGCTTAGACCTGACTACAGATTCCTTCTATTCTGCTGTATTACAGAAGGATCATTAAACAGATCTACATCCGTTAGGAGAACTTCTGGCCTCCTATTTCCCTTTCAGCTTATTTGAAAAAGGTTTTGTATTCAAATACTAAAAAAAAAAAAAATGCTGGCCTGGTTTTGACTGCAGTCCCTTTGCCCCCAGAGGTTTCAGGGCGCATAAGACTGGCAGCTGAGTGCTGTGCAGATTTTAAAGTCTGCAACTTTAGAAAATTCTCTCAGGAGCTCTAGACAGGCAGTCACAGCCTGCTGGGGAAGACTGGCAGCTTTTAATCAGTGACAAGGAACTTGCCATCTCCTTAGACTGCCTTCCAGTGTCTGCGTCCATTCAGCTGGTTTGCAGCAAAGACTGTCTCAAGATTCTGCTTGGCCTTACCAGAGCTGGGATCTGAACCTTAGCCTTCACTATGACAAAGCATCTACATGCTCAGTACATGGAGATATCCACCCCATTCTTACTCCCCTTGCATCCTACCCTAATTTGTCTTTGCACCCAAGATACTTTAAGCTATTAAGGAAAAAGCTCTCAGGAACCAAGTGTGGAGAATTTGCAATTGGGCTTTCCCACGTGTACAGCAATTGGAGCTATTCAACTCTCTCTTCACTATGAGAAAACCAGGAAGCAGGGCTTTCTCTCACTACAGAAAAGCTGAGACTCTGAGCAACCACCCAACTCCAGCAGCTCAGGCTTGAAGGAAAACCAGAAGACAATTATTGGGAACACATACACAGATATGCACATAGAGTCATAAAATACAGCAGTAAAAGTACACTAGTAGAATGAACAACGGTCTTTCTGCATGAATGCCTTGGAGGGAAATCAGATATCAGTCTCTATCTCTCCTCATGAAGTCATTTAATGAACAATACATGTGATGTTTCTGAATTTCTATTACTTTTCAACTCAGCATCTCTCATTGATACACTATCTATCCAGATTGCAAGATCACCGAAAAGATATCTTCCTACCCAACTACACAGCACACACTAAAATGCATGCTAAGGAAATCCATGCAAATTCCTTACAGAAGAAACTTATTTGTGGGATAGAGGAAAATAATGGGCAAAAGACAAGGAAGGCTTTTTACCTCCCACTGCCATGCAAAGCACTGCATCAGTTTAGAGTGCATTACAATTGATGTTCATAATCAACAGGACACATCTCCCTCTACCACTTAATGCATCTCACTAGTGAAATTACTCAGTTCAATAGCAGTGGGAAGCTGATAGAAAGGATAGAAAAGTTCCTGAGTCCCCCCACACCTCATCCAAGCCCATATAAGGGGAAGTCAAGAAACAAATTAATTCCCGGCTCCCCAGGAATCGAGTCTCCCTCATATTGTCACTCTCAGTGCTGAGTACACAGAGGCCATCAATAGTACATCCTAATGACAGGAGGCAAAAGGAACCTTCCTTGCCCTAGTTGTTCCAGTGACCTGCACAGTATTCACTAACAATTCTGTGCACACACACAGGTCTGGGGTCTTACCCAGCAGCCCTCAGCCTTCCTAAAGGACTCAGTGCCTTCCTGATGTACAGCTCATGCATTGGTGTCCCACTTTACACACACACAGCACTCCACAAACTCCACTGTTCTCTAAGATGCAGGAGCCACTGGCAGGGTCACACACAAAAGTGAGCTTTACTATCATTACTGAAGGCACAAAAGGGCTTTATTTCTTCTTTTCAATTTTGCTCAACTATTATTTGGTAGGGTAGAGAAATCAGAAAAAAAAAAAAAAGCATAAAAGGATACTTCCAAGCTAGCCACTATTTTTTGATGTAAATGGTATTCAGTTTATGGTGGATAACAAACATACCATTGATATATATTATGCATTTTTACAGGTGCTTCAATAAGTCCTTCATGAGAGATCAAATGACACATGCTTGGCCCTTTCTGCAGTAACAATGAATTTTGAATGTTTTCCTGGATAATTCCCAAGGTGGAGATGCAGAAATATTTTGAGCCTGGGTCTGAAGACCTTAGAGTTCAGACTTCAAGCTAGTCTTAGGCACTAAAGTGGAGTAGATTTCTGTGAACCCAAGCTCAGCCCTAAAGACTGAGCTTGTGATTAGTAGCAGTTAAATCCCTCTGAAGAGATAAGTACAGTTGTACCCAAATCCGCAAAAGAATGATTGCACAGATATGAAAGGGATGGAAGTATCAGAACATAAAGGGTGTTCTGATTTCTGTTTATGAACTGGCAACTACCGTGTTGTTTTTCCTCTTAGATACCAGCTCCAGTCTAGTTTGTCTGCAGTTATTACACATCCACAATAGACAATGAACCCCATGGACCGGAACCAGAGATAGTTCTGCTATGTTTTACCAATATCATTTGCACAGAAAGGTACGGGTCTAGGAAGCAGATGTGTAAGTTCATCATCTAATTTACAGAACGGGAAAGAAAAACTGCATTTAAACCCTGTATGTCTGTAAAATGGCATGAACGTGGTGCATTTGTTATTTACAGTACATTGCTAATATATGTCTCCATTAATATTCATTATCTTGATTTACATGTTTCTTTCATGTGGAAAATGGATTTGGGTCCTTTCTGATTTACTTGATAACACTCCTACATTTCATGACTGGCTGCAACAGAGAACACATTTTTAATATGCTTAATAAATTTACATCATCATTAGTGCAGAATATTTTATCCACACAGCCAGGGAATAAGAAGCACAGCACTAAATCGACAATCAAATCTGATCCCTCAAAATATCAGGGTATGATTCTTCAAGCTATGCCAAGGCAGAACTTACATGAGATTGATTAAATAAACACACATGAAATGTCACAAAATACAATAGTTTTGCTGGCTCTTATTCCTCAGGGAGCATAAAACTCTGGTAAAATTTAAAAAAAAAATTAATTTTCCTGCCAAATTAGGACCAATTTAACCATCTGCTGTGAGTTGTTTCCTAGGTAGGTCTTTTTTGGTTTTTTTGAGTGCATTTTTTGTTTGATTGGTTGGCAATCCCCACTACCCACCCTTCAGCTTTATTGGAGCTGGTTTTGATAACAGGAAAAACATCCCAGGAGACTTTGGCAACCAAGTAGAAGACTTGACTGTGGTAGAAATTTTTATTACCATCAGTCACCAGGGTAAAACAAGCCCCTTCGTGTAAAAACTTGATAGCTATATGAACTATTAGGTCCCTGGGGGTCTTGGTGGCTGAACAGTGTGTCCCATCACACAGCAAAAGGCTGCACTGAGCTCCATACACAGTGAATAAAATCCATGTTCTAAGCCCGCTTCCAGTGCAAGCAGATCTCCCGCTGTGATCAAACCATAAAAAGATACTGCTTCCTACACGAATAGCTGAGTGTGCAAACTCATTCTTCCCTTCCCCCAGATGCCCTCCAGCACCTACACACAGAGCAGACAGAGGCTGCTATGTTTGCAGGAGAGAAAATGAAAAAAGAATTAAACTAAAAGACACGAGGAAATGTCATTGTTACAATTTCACTAAATGCCCATAGGAGATAATGTGGCAGCATTTATCAAGCTCTGATATTCATTTAAGAAAAGTGACTTACACTGTGCAACTGGAGCACCATATTTATAGATAAAAGCATTTCAAATAGTCCTTTTCAAGTTCCTTTTTCCCACAAAACTGCTGGTTAAAATGTGCTTAATGAGACTTTCCTTCCCCTCACTTTTTCAGTTCCTTTCATATGGATTTGCTTCTCCTACCTACTTCAGCTAAAAGACCCTAATCTGCTCTTGCAGAGCACACTGTGTCACTAAGCCACAAATTATGACCTTAGTGGTGTGGTTCAGCAGGTAGAAAAGAAATGTGAGTTGAGAATAGTCAATCTGCAAAACAGAAGTAAGGACCCAGCATAAAAGTTCCAGAAGAACAATGAATATATTAACAGACATATCTTGGAAATTCCCCTCAAAGGAACTAAGCAAACACAGACAAACTCTTAAGTGTCCTGTTGCAATAACTCTCTAGTCCAGAGAAGAAAATCTTTACAAATGCATCAATAATTCTGAATGTGACAAGGGTAAGAGAGGGCATTGTTACATAGCAAGGAACTAGAAAATTACAGGCAGAAACATCAATATGGGAGGCTTCAAAGCACCTACAGTATTTATAACCACATGGCTGGGGTCAACTCACAGCCAAGAACTTTCCAGCAATGGCATTTAAGGGAGAGAAAGATGTCTAACAGAGATCATCTGGCTAATATCATAGAATGGTTTGGGTTCAAGGGACCTTAAAAATCATACAGTTCCAACCCTCCTGCCCACCCACTAGACCAGACTGCTCAAAGACCCATCCAACCCAGCCTTGAATACTCCCAGGGATGGGACATCCACAATTTCGGTGGTCAACCTGTTCCAGCACCTCACCACCCTCACAGTAAAGAATTTCTTCCCAATATCTAAACTAAATCTACTCCGTTTCAGTTTAAAGACATTCCCCCTTATCCTACCACATTGCAAGTTTGTCTTCAGATATGATCCTCCGTCTACAT